TGCTTTTGTCAATACAGTTACCACAACAGAAAAATAACCAAGACATTAAGTACAGACACACAGGTTTGAAGGAAATGAATAAATAAAGCCAACATTAATTCTAAATAAAGCAGTAGTTACTATTAAGAATGAAGAGAACAGAGAACAAACGAGGTGGTGGATCTCTGAGGTTGAGGCCAGCCTGGTCTACAGAACAAATTCCAGGACAGCCAGGGTTACACGGATTGAAGGGATGGATGGGATGGAATGAGGGGTAGATAGAGATGGATGGGATGGAATGATGGGTGGATAGAGATGGATGGATGGATGGATGGATGGATGGATGGATGGATGGATGGATGGATGTGGAGGGGTGATGGGTGGGGGATGGGATGGATGGGTGGGTGGACTGGTTAGTCGGACAGATAAGATTGAATGGATGGACAGACAGATGGGTAGATAGACAGACCAAGTCATATAACCTGTCACATTAATAGTTTAAGAAAGACCACCTGTGTAAGAGAAACTGCAGGCCAGCCTAACCAAGCGACAGTTACCCTGCCCAAGGGCCCAGGCCATCCCATATGAGTATGATCATCAGGCACTCCCTCCCTCAGCCATGTCTGCCTCTATACCCAAAGACTTCTGACAAAGAGACACCTTATTGGAGACCAACAATGAGAAAAGGAAAAGACACCAGAGTCAACCACCTGAGCCAATGGAACCTTGGGAAGGGGCATAAAGGCAGGTCTAACTTCCTTAATAAACAAGTCTGCAGCATGCTCTGCTACTTACTTTCTCCCAGTGACTAAGTCATTGGTGCTGTGTCTTCTTACTCCCTCCCCCCAAGGGGGGTCTGAGCAAGATTACCCACAATATTTGGGGGAGGAGTTCATTCAAGATTTAAAAAGAAAACAATGCTCTTAAACTAGAAGGGGAAATTGCTCAATTTGATAGAGCTTTGAGGATTCTGATTTAAAAAAAAAAAAAAAACTTGCAACCAGAATAAAAAGTCTCACAAAACATACTGAAACAAACCAAGGAAAAAGGGCAAGTTGTGGTGTTGTGGTGATTATCTTTTTATACTCTAACAAATAAAGCTTACCTGGCTAAGCTAGCCACTGGCTAACCTTAAAAGTCTATACAGATACACAGGAAGATGGCTCGGCAGAGAGGAATATAGGTAGGTTAAGACAGGAACTCAATCTGTTTTCAGTCTGAGAATTTCATAGAGGTAAGAACTCTAGTGGCTGGATATTCTGCTTCTGTGATCTTTCAGAACTTAGCCCCTAATATCTGACTCTGGGCTTTAATTATTAAGACCTGTTAGAACTCATGTTTATTTATAATTTTCTCTACAGACATATAATGCAAATGGTCTTTTGGTAGTCCCAGTCCAATTATTACAGCTGGCTTTGGAGTTGGAGTGTGGCTCTCTCCTTTTCTAAACCCCAACATGCCTGTTAAAGTAAAATTCAAAATCTCTGTCTCATGTCAGAAGAGCCATCTGATTACTGAGCAGAAGAAAAACAAAACTTAAGGGACTATTGTATTGCCAATAATCTCATAATCGTTTGCTTTTACTCTGACTCTTTAACTACTTTACTTGAGGTATAAATATTATCTCAAAATTTATAAGACTAATACATACATATTTTTTAAAGTTTTTGTCATACCGATGGTCAGAGTACTAATTCTAGAAAAAGGTGTCATATAGCTTCCTGTACATGATTTTGGATTTGTGACTCTAACAGGTAATTAGGACTCAAGTCTTTGTATTCTGGATGTACATAATAAATATTGATCATTTAACCACTTTGAGATCTGCTGCATATGACATTTAAAATATTACAGTTTTCTGCAGTGAACTATGACTGTGGCTAGCAGCAACTTTTAAAGTCTCCACTAGGACTGTGACAATGCCACTAAGCCAATAAACATCACCTAAAGACAGGCTTTGAACTACAAACTGCTCGGGAAAATTTCAAGGTGGCTAGCTGAGATGATCCATCCTCACAGACTACTCTAGTCAGAACTTGAGAAAAGACCATCACTTTCCCATTAGGCAGAGACTGGACAACAAATGACACACAGCTACCTCTCCCATGATGGGAGATGTCATTCTATAAATATGTCTCTCCTATTGGTTTATGAATAAAGCACTGTTGGCCAATAGGAAACCAAGATAGGCAGGACTAGGAGAGGAGGAGGAGAGAGGAAGTAGTAGGGAGGAGATTCAAGATGGAGGACGGAGAGAGCAGAACGCCAGCCCCTCTCTCTGGTAAAATAGGACCACGTGGGATGGGTTAATATTTAAGATCTCCAGACAGCAGGAATATGATGCCCACATTCCCAGGAGTTGGGATGGGCAGTTCTTGGTCATCCAAAGGGTTATAGATGTTAGTAATTGTTTTAGGGGGTTTGGTTACAAGTTGTTACCGGTAATGCTCAGGAAAAAAGCTGAACAAGGGGGATGGAGGGATGGCTCAGAGGTTTAGACTAAAGGCTGTTCTTCCAGTGGTCCTGAGTTCAATTCCCAGCAACCACATGGTGGCTCACAGCCATCTGTAATGAGATCTGGTGCCTTCTTCTAGTGTACAGGCATGCATGCAATCAGAACAGTATGTACATAACAAATTTTTCTTAAGTTGAACAAAGGAGATTAGATTCAGCGTTCTTGTTTTAAAAGGGGGATGGTATAGATAAAATAGGATATAAGGGTAGATTATTAAATCTACCCTGAAAAGGGGAGGACATAGAAGTAGGATAAAATGGTAGATTACTGAATCTACTTCTAAACCAAAAGAGCAACTACTAGTTTTAAATATTTTACATTGGTTTGAGGTTTTTGTATATTGATACAAAGTTAAGATTTTTTTTTGTTAGAACACAGATTTTTAATTTTGTTCAAGGTATTCTACCTATGCAACTCATTTAACAATGTAATGCAAATTTTCAGCCCTTGAAAATTAATATTACCAACTATTTAGGATAAAAAGAAATGTAGGTTAGTAACTGATCACCTATTACAATCGAACTTGTAGTCACATTAGGTATGTTTTCAAGGTCAATATTTTAGATGGACAAATCATCTTCAAATATTTCAGAGTTTACAGAATATGCCACTTAAGACGTTTTTAGTAACATAGGTTCTTTTCTTTATATGACAATGACACGCATGCTCCTGGCAGCATCAATCTATTTCATAGAAGATGGTGGGCATTGAAGAAACTCCACATGGAATTTACTGTCTTTGTAGCAAAGGTTAGCTTTAGCCACTAGGCAAGAAAGCACTCTTGCATCGACTGCTGACAGTATGCTGTCCAAATTGGGCAAGCAGGACATAAAAGGACAATAAAACTTTCCCAAGACAAGGTAGCACAGCCCTTCAGAGTATCCTGCTTCACAGAAAAATCTGTCAGATATGCTAGGCCTGTAGGCTGAAAATGGATGTCCCAACATTACAGAGGAACCTTGGGTGACTATTCAGACAGCCAGTTGTTCTCACCATTTCTCATGTTTTTTGGAAGTTGATTGCTTGCACTTCCTGTTTACTCAGGTAATATTATTTATTACACATACACATTTTTAAAAGTTATGAGCGGACTACAAAATTAAAGCCCTAAGTTATTTGCAATAATGGTCAGAAGTATTACTTTGTCATTTATTAACTATAAGAAGTAATGAATCCATTAAGATTACTCTTTTTAAATTGTTGGGATCAATTTGTCACAAATTTAAAAACAGAGCTGGGTGTTGGTGGTGCACATCTTTGATCCCAGCACTTGAGAAGCAGAGGCAGGCGGGTCTTTGAGCTTGAGGCCAGCCTGGTCTACAAAGCTAGTTCCAGAACAGGCTCAAAAACCACAGAGACATCCTGTCTCGAAAAACAAAACATAAAACAAAACAAAAAAGACAGAAATAAATTGATACTTATAAGTATCTAGCAACTTTGTAGACCAAAAACAAAGGGGTTTTTTTTTTTTTTTTTTTCTTTCATTCCTTGGCAATGTCCTGTCCTACCATGAAAAGAAGATAATCCAGTTCAGAATGTACAGAAAGACTGAAAATTAATTAGAAGCGACTTCCTCTGGGATGAAGAAGAGAAGTGAGGTGAAGGATAGCTGACACAGAAATCTTACAATCCTACAACCACAAGGATCTAATTCTTGGAAGAACTGAATTATTCGAGGTTAGAGGATTCTTTCCAGTAAGAACCCAGGCTATCCAACACTTTGATTTAGCCTTAACCTGTGATAAATAAACTCGTTGAGTGTATCCAGACTATCTTGGATAATATCTGTATCCACACAGAACCAGGGACATGATATATTTTTATTTTATTTTAAACTCCTTAACTGTGGTAACATGTTCTGATACTAAAACCTGCAAATATGAGGATTCTTTCTTCTGAAACCTCCAACAAAGCAAAGAAAAGTTATAAAACTCAAGTCACATACCATATTTAATTTCAGTTCTGCCTAGTGGCTCATTTTTCACTCACACTAGGTATTTACACTGGCTTATCTAAGCTACTCCTTGGTGATGAGGCCCTTACACCAGCCTCATCTCCAACTGCACTTTCTCACTCACCACTGTGTTCCAACCAAATGTCCCTACTTAGGTTTTGTTTGTTTTCAAATTAATCACATAATAATCTCAATAACACCTAACACCATAAACCAGATGTGTAAGCTCTTTTATATATTTTAATAATACTTAAATAATATCAATAAGATTAAATATTTTATCTTAATCTATTCCAAAAACTATTTCCCCTATTTTACAGGTATTGAAATAGAGTGGCAGAAAGGTGTATTAACCTAAGGTTCAATTACTAAGTGGTAAAAGCAGATTTCAAAGTAATAGATAGCTGAAGTCTGAATTAAACCCTATCTCTAAATTTAGACGGTGCCATTCATTTGTTATCCTTACATAGTCTTTGAAAACACTACTTAGAAGTCAAAAACCAAGATTCCCTTAGTTATTGCATAAAAGAAAGTTCAATACTTCAATCTTACTTTTTCTGTAGTAACAGTCAAAGAAGGAACCAAAGCAGGTGATGGTTCTGGTTGCTTCTTGTGTTTTTGTTTGTGTTTGTCCTTTTCTTTATATTTCTAAAAATAAAAAGAACATGTTTCAAAATTAAACAGTAATTCATATGTAATAATTCTTTACAACCTTTTTAAATAAAGAAATCACCCCTTTTATCAGTTCTTATAGATAAAAAATTATTTTAAAGATCATTGTAAGTAATAACAATAAATGATTGAAGCCTTGACTATTTGCTATATTTATAAGTAGCAATAGTGGAGAGGGTCTCTGAGCGGGCCTTCCCCCTTAATAAGATTAGTGACTACCCTAATTGTCATCATAGAACCTACATCCAGTATCTAATGGAAGCAGATGCAAAGATCCCCAGCCAAGCACTGGACCTAAGTCCTGGACTCCAGTGGAAGACAAAGAGAAGGAATAATATGAGCAAAGGGGTCAAGACCATGATGGAGAAACTCACACAAAGAGCTGCCTGTTTCCAGCCTGGAGCTAATGGGACTCTGGACTGACAGCTGGGGTACCTGAATAAGACTAAACTAGGCCCCCTGAATGCAGGTGACAATGAGTGGCATGGGCAATTTATGGGGCATTTGGCAGTGGGACCAATATTTATCCCTAGTGCATGAACTGGCTTTTTGGATCCTATACCCTATGGAGAGATACCTTACTCAGCCTAGATGGAGGGGGAGAGGGTGGCCCTGCCCCAAATGATATGACAGGTTGTTGACTCCCCACAGAGTCCTGACCCTTTCTGAGGAGTAGACAGGGGTGGAATTGGGAGATGGTGGGGAAAGGGAGGGAGTGGGAACTGGGATTGGTCTGTAAAATAAGACTTTTAATTAAAATTAAAAAAAAAAAACTAAATATCATTTTAAGATTTAGAGGGTTCTTCACATATATTATTATACTCCATCACTACACATAATTAACTCTTTGGGAGATACCCTGCCTGCTTCATCCACCTTAGTGCTGAGATTGTTTATAAGAACCACCATACCAACTACCATGCACTGTGTATTACAGACCAGTTTCTAGACACAAACTCAAACCAAAAAAAAAAAAAAAAAAAAAAAAGTTGACTGTAATTTCTAATGACCACAACCCAAAGAAAAGAAAAAAACAAGAAGGGCAGGGGATAGGGGCAACACCAAGGCTAGGTTATAGGATGCAACTGTGAAAAATGAACTAATCTACATAGGAATACAAAACTTGGCTGAACAAGAAATTACATATTAATATCCCATCTTTGATTACTGTCAAATATTTTCTACAAAAATGTTCAGTATTGTGTATAAATTTTCATTTAGTTAAATATATCTATTTCACACAGTGTGTAAATTTAACCCTTTAGACCACTTTACCTATTCAAGGCATGAAAGTTAAGTTTCCATTTCCCTATCATATTCCAGTTGAACAAAACACCTAAAAATTAAGGATACAGTTCTTACAATGTTCCAAAAAACATCCACTGTTTCTGAATGTAGTATTAATACTGCCACAAAAAATGTACACAGAATAAAACTTTTCTTTCGAATTTCACAACTTAGTTTTTATAGTTTTTTTAATTGACTGCTCCAATCATATGTCCGTGTTTTACATTATAGTATTATTGTTCTGTCACAAAAGTACAACCCCTTGAACCTGAGTTACCCTTGTGACTCGCTGTGATCAAAAGGACATGGTAGAAACTTTGCATAGCTACAACTACTAATGACATTATCCTAAAACATCCCTTAAAAAACAATGCAAACAAACAAAAACAATGGATGGAGAAGGCTTGGGTTAAGAATGTTTGGTATGAGACTAGAGAAAGATGGGTCAGCAGTTAAGAGCACTGGCTACTCTTCCAGAGAGCTCAGGTTCAATTCCCAGCAGCCAAATGACAGCTCACAACTGGAACTTCAGTTCCAGAGGGTCCAATGCCCTCACACAAATATACATTGAAGAAAAACAATTTATAGAATAAATAATTTTCTTAACAAAGGTAAGAAAGGTCAAATGAACAGTAAGGCCTATGTGTAAGCAGCAATACGTAGCCCCAAGTAAGACTAATAACCACCACCAAAATCAGCCAGCACTTTCTACAGAGCCAAGAATGAACCCAGCTGTCATGACATGAACATGAACTATTCTCCTGAGCCTCAATTATGGAGTACTTTATCAAGGAACAGTAACAACTGAAGAATAAAAGGCAAGAGTATACAACCAAATCACAACTCAAAAGTAATAGACTTACAGGATTTTTATGTATGGATACTAAAATGTCTTTATTACATTATCTAACTTATAAGGTAAAATGATCCTGACCTAGATGTACTATACTGTAATTTTTTGTATAGAGGTTTTTTTCTTTTTCTTTTTCTTTCTTTTTTTTTTTTTTTTTTTAGAGGTGGGAACATAGTAAATAAGGCATTTCTATACTTATTTATCACATTCTTACCATACTGGATTATTATTAATGCAGGGTACAAAAGCTGATAAAATTATTAGTAAATGAGCCTTGCCATTAAGAAATAAACACTAATACTTTAGAAAGCATGATGGAAAACACAAAATATATACACATAAATATATGAAAAGATGTTGTGTACAAAAACACAAGCAAATCAGGAATACAGAATATTGAAACTGTAACACATCCAGAAATATATGTATCCTGAAGTAAAAATTTTATAGCTCAATGAATAGGCTATATGCATGGATTACAAGGTTATTAACAGCCTTTATAGACAGTCAATCAAAGTCGTTAAAAAGACAAAGTGACTTTAATAGGTTAATAAAAGGATAAGACAATTATATATGATCATGAAATATATCTGAATGAGTAGATAAATCTAAACTTAATTTAATAATGCTATTAAGACAACTGGTAGCCAGACAGTGGTAGTTCATGACTTTAAACCCAGCACTCAGAAGGCAGAGTCAGGCAGATCTCTGACTCTGAGGCTAGTCTGCTCTACAAAAAGATTTCCAGGACAGCCAGGGATGCACAGAAAAACCTTGTCTTAGAAAACAAAAACAAATCTCAAGTGATCAGTATGGTTCAATATATTTCCAATTTTTAATGTAAGTAATTTGAGAGCCTCTCATATACCCCAGACTGTTTTCAAACTCAGTATGTTCTATAGAACCATGAACTTTTGATCCTCCTGCCTACATGCACTCACTATCAGGATTATAAATGTTGATCACTGTGGGCATTCCATTTGGGGTTAGGAATCAAAACCAGGGCTTAGCGTATGTCATGCATACCCCAATCTCATTAATGTGTATTTTTTCCTACATTTTAATTTGGGGGGGGGGTGCTTTTGAGTCAGGGTTTCTCTGTGTAGCTTTGGAGGCTGTCCTGAAACTAGCTCTGTAGACCATGCCAGTCTTGAATCAGAGATCCGCCAGCCCCTTCTCCACGAGTGCTGGGACTAAAGGAGTGCGCCACCAACAACCGGCTCGAGAGTTTTTTTTTGTTTTTTTTTTTTGGTTAAAAACCCTAAAACACCCGTTGACCTTGCAATTTCATCAAAAGAATGCACAATCTTAAATACAGTTCACTAAAATATATACAAATAAAACATATACATGTAATGGGTAAAAAAGAAAACAACCTAAATGCCAAACACAGGTGTTTGGCAGGTACTATATAATTATTTAAGAATCACTGAAACCAGTATGGTATTAACTAGTTAAGACAATAGTCAAGGTGACTTTTGTTTTTATGAAGGACTGGTAAGGTGGGCCAATGAGTGAAGATGCTTGCTGTCAGGCTGACCTCCCACACGTTATCCTTTTACCTTCACATGTGCAAGATGGCACTCACAGGTACACACAAATAAATAAATGAATGTTATAAAGTAAAAATCTGGGGCTGTAGAGATGGCTCAGCAGTTAAGAACATTGAATGCTCTTCCAGAAGACCCAGGTTCAATCCCTAGGACCCACAAGGCAACTCCAAGATCTATCACCCTGACACAGACATACATGCAGGCAAAAAACACCAATGTACATAAAATAAAAATAAATAATTTTTTTAAAAACAGTAAAACTTTATTCAAAGAGAAAAATCAGAACATAGGAAAATGAACATGGCGAAAGAATATTCCTATAAACTATGTGATATGTGATTATTTGGGAACTGGCTAGCAATTTTTTAAAGCACATAGGTTAACAGAGTTACCATTTATCATTTCTGACTCAATCAGTGCCTATAATCAACAATTCTCAGGTGTCCGTGTCTCCCTGAAGCCAGCAGTAGTAAACTGCACCCACAGAGCCAACAAGGGCACTAGGGAGGTGTTCCTTGTTCTTCCTTGATGTGCAGAGAAGCCTGGGCATTAGCCTTGATCATTAATTCACAATCCAAAGAGCTGAACAGTCCTACAAGATTCCCTCTTAACACCCTGCTTTGAAAAAGAAAAGATAGAATGTGCACACGTAATCTGTGCTACCCAGGTTAAAAGAGTCCAAGATAGAATAGAAAGATTTCAAAAAATGTTTTCTTAGTTCAAAGCAATCAAGTGCAGTAGGATAAGCTAGTCAAAGAGGAGAAATATACCACTATACTTCATCATGGAGTAAAGGGAGAACCCAGGCACTGAGCAGAGTAACTGGAAGCTGCTTTTCATGCTATTTTCCACTGGGGGGGAAAAATGTTTATAATAAAGCTTCTTCACTGAATATATAAAAATAATTACTCGATCCTAAAAATTAAGAGACAAACAATTCTTTAAAACTTAGATCGCTGAATTGGAATTAGTTTTTTTTTTTTTTTTTTTTTTTTGTTTTTTTTTAAAAAAAAGCCCATGCCTTTAATCACAGTATTCAGGAGACAGAAGCAGAAGAATCTCTATGAGTTTTGAAGCCAGACAGGACAGCCAGGGCAACACAGAGACACCCTTTCAAGAAGAAGAAGAAAGAAAGATGAAAGAAAGAAGAAAGAAAGAAAGAAAGAAGGAAGGAAGGAAGGAAGGAAGGAAGGAAGGAAGGAAGGAAGGAAGGAAAGAAGGAAGGAAGAAGAAGGAAGAAAGAAGAAGGAAGAAAGAAGGAGGAGGAAGAAGAAGAAAGAAGA